CACAGTTTTTGTAACAAATGGATTTCTTCTCAATTTTATCTATGCAAAGAAGCAAAATCACTCACTGATGGTGTTTTTCGAAAGAACATGAAACAATGCCACACAACGGACTCATCAAGTGCAAATCGACAATGGCGAGACTAGAAAGGAATATAACATAATAATAGCTTCGAAAGTATGAAAAGGAAATCTTTTTGCTTAATTGGCTGTTATTTTTAGAAAAGTGAAGACGAAGAACCATAACACAAAAACCAAGAGTTACAAGAAGGAACTGAAAGTGAATTTCTTCCTGCCATTGAGAATTCAAATATTTTTTTTTTTTAACTTTAGCGGCTTAACATCATACAGGCATCACATTTTAATGGGAGAGAAATTCTCGATACGGATTATAAGCAATTCATTAACCGACATAAGTATTATGTTAAACACGGAACATTAGAAGCGTCGGCCAAGAATTTAAATTTTTAATATTATTCAAGTAAAAATAAAATCTAAACCTAAAAGGTTAACAAAAATTTTGAATGTTGAGGTAATTAATTCTTTGCCGATTATATATCCTTTCGACGTATGTTACATATAATAACGAATAAAAGGAAAAAATGGATGCTACATGACTAAAAACATTATGATGAACATTAAACAGAAATTTAAGCGCGCGAAGTACTATTTTCCTCTTATGATGAATCGACGTTTAAAAAATTACCTTTAGCTCTTACCGCTCACCACCACCGATAAAAAGCGTAGATACTCATCCTTGGCATACCTTCTTGGTAGTGGGCATAGCGGTTTCCTAACATTTCTGCAGAGTAAATATAATCGCTTATCAAACATCTGCAATACTAAAAATATAAGAGCACACTGTGGTGAGCCATGATCTGTCATTAAATACCCTACATCACCCCACAGGTACTCATATAACTACTTTTCAAAATAAGGTCTCGTCTGGGAAATAGTCGAAAGTGTGATCCGATTCGATTCATTTTGAACAATGTTCGTTGTTGAGCCAAAATACAGCAGTGCACTATATTTCATGAAAATATCTCAAAAATTGTGGCCTTTACGTTGCACAGAAAAAAAGAAGAGTGACAAGCTGGCAGACGGATAGACAAGATCAATTCAGAAAGCGGCTTGGAACCGATCGATCGATGTAGTAAAAGATGAGATCAAGTACTTCTGTGTGTTGCCTATATCTACACAAATTTAATGTCCCTCTGTACCACACGTGGTGTTGGTTATAAAAAAACTGAACATGTGCTTATCAGCAGTGCGAAGCACGAACGCGAACGACGGAGATTATAGACAAAATATGGAGAATTTCTCGTAGTACACACTTTAATGTTAATGTAATGAAATGGCTTTTGAGAAACACTTGAAAGTTTACCCCTCACAAAGCTCTGTCTAAAAAGTATTGGCATAGGGGCAAAAGTCAGCAGCAAAGTTGGTGCTTATTACAAATTTGCCTCGAGCAAAGGCTGAAAAATCCGATAGAGGCATTGGGAACGTCATAGTTCGTGTTCAGATTTCTTGACAAAACTTGGAACGTCAGACGATAGGAGTTACTTCTCCGCTACTATAAACTACTAAGTACTCTTTTTAAACCAAAGAAAAGAACAAATAAAGGACACTGCGGCGCTCTTGGAATTTTCCCCTGGATGGCTCTCGCACCAGCACCCCAACTTACTTAAGGATACAAAAAGTCTTTTTCGCATAGTATTCTAAGTGAGAATGACAAGAGCATCTATTTTGACAATGCCAGAGGTAGAAGCTCTTGATGGACTCAAGCGTACAATTCAAAGTAACTATGTGACTGAAACAAATTGGACGCTTATTCTTAAATTTTTCGAATTATTGAGAATATATACGCTTATTCTCGTATATGACCGAATTTTTATACAAACACTTGAACAAATGTAAAGAAATTGGACAAATTAAAAAAAAGGATAGGGAAGTAACTATATGCAACCTTCCAATACCGACTCGAGGACATTCTTATTTGAAGACATCCAATTCATTTATTTTATATTACTTACCTATTTGGACCCTTTGAACAGCGATGCTACAAACACAATGAAATATTTTGAATGGATAGGGAGCGATGTTAATGAAACACTTGGAACACTTTGGCAGGAAGATGACCTTCTGTATTAGATGGGACCAGAATGTTGTGGTCCGTTATGAGCGTTTTAAGTCTTCTAAAGCTACCTGCGACAATTCTAATCTATTTGAATCGCCCGCTCTACAAAAAACGAGCGAAATATTATAGAAGGCAACCAGGCACCCGTCCATTCATCCATATAGCAAAACCGGTGCGTTCACCTCACTCAATTGAAAAGCATCGATGGAGTTTATTTACAAACCTCGAGTTCTTCCGATTGCCAATCGTTTGGGTCGGTAGAACACGCACTTGCTAACCAGCGTTGCACTGCTTACGACCGGCTGTCCTCAAAAGGACAACAGTTCTTTTAGCGTGGCACACACAAATTACCGTAATGGCGGGAAAAAGGTACAGCCAGCGATGGGCACTCCGTCAATTAAAACGTTTTTTACAATTTTCTTATAACGAAATAATCAATTTTCTATACAAAAATTTCGGTTTCATATTTACTACTACTCTTCATAATGCAGAAAATGGAAAACGCATAGACATAGAGATTTTTGAGCTTTCTTTGCAAAGGTTTTGGAGACCATATGGATTTAAATAAATGCGTTATTAAATTCCGGATATCGAACCTGTGCTTTATTTTTTAATATTCACTGCACAAAGCGTCACTTTTCATTTTCATAATTGTCATAGCTGCCTAATGCCGTTGTATATATATATATATATATATATATATTGAGATTCAAATATATACATACATATATATATATATGTATATTATCAGATAGTCTCTGTTCATACATATTCTATTTGTTACGATAAGCTTTCTTCTAATATACCGAGCATAGCTTTCATTCTTTAGCTACGTGTATTACGTATATTAAACCACAAAGTAAAGCCAATGGTTCACTTATTGCATTCAGTTTAGAAAAAAAGAACATGTAAAAGTAAAATATTGATACAGACTTTTCATGCTATTAAAAAAGTTATACTTTCAAAGCATTTTTACTTTTTCTTCTTTTTCTGCTTTTTTTTTTTTAAGAAAAGTCAATGAACTGCTTCTTTAAATTCAATATTAATGCATAAGTATTTCGAAGTTCAGTGTTCATTCAACCATTAATTTTCAGATATAAATGGGTAAAGACAGGAATCATTGATATTACAACAAATAATAAAAATATTTATATTAATTGTTGATGAAGTCTTTTAAGTTCTTATAAAATATTAGGAAACATGATAAAAATATTACTTTTTAATTAATAAAAAAGAAAAAGAACATTAAAAAGCAGTGCAATTTAAAATTATTGTTTGTGTATCCTACACCCCACACCAAATAAATAAATAGGTGACTTGGCATAAAGGCGCCAAATCTTGATTCGAATACACCTGAGAGAGAGCCATCTTTTATTATTTCGATCGATTCAGAATCATCTTCAAAATCGTTTTCTGAATCGACCAGAGCATGTCTGTCGCTCCATCTATCTGCCTGCCTGCCTTGTTTTCTTATGTTCAACCTACAGGGCGCAACTTTTAAGTTATTTTGTTGAAACTTTTTACGTTGAAGTTTTTTACGTCAAGGGCGAACTCTATTGAAAATAGTTTGAATCGGACGGCTTTCTCTCATACAACAACTTGTTTTGAAAAGTCGATATGTGAATCACCGCAGAGTGGTGTAGGGTAAGTAATAGAGGGCCGTGCCCTGCTAGAGTGTTTTTACTTATTTTAAAAATAAACAGGGGAATTTTGCAGAATTCCATCAAAGCGTCTTTTATCCTTCGGCTTAAAAAATGTGCATATATATGTGTATATATATGTGTATATATGTATATGCAGGTATATTGGCAACAACCTTCGCTTTGCTCGATGATGAACTCAATTTTCCATTTCATTTGCAACTTCCGTTATTTAAGTAAGCATAAGCGGCGTTTTAAAGTATCTTCGTATTTTTTTTAACAGACAAAGATTTATAAATCGTTTCACTTAGATTTTTGCTGCTGCAGCTCTCCGCAGACTTGAATAATACTCAGTATTACACGATCCTTGCGCAAATGTTGCTAAGAGGAGATATAAGCAAATATGAATTGATATTGTCTAAAAATTATTGATCCTTTATTGATCTTAGTTAATTCCTTCCAGTCACTCAATTTAGTGAGTATTGCGATCTAAAAGTTGGATGCAAAAATTGGACCCAATCTGCAAGTTAACGTTCCCAACAATTAATCGTAAAGCTTTGCTGATATGCAAGACGGCAACAATCAAGATTCGCTTAGGGACCAAAATAACTTTCTTACTCATTCCTCACTGTGAAAAAGCAACTGATTTTTTTTTTTGTTTTCCTAGTCAAAGTCTTTCGCATCATTTTTCCTCTATTTTATTTCATATATATATATATTTGTTTTTTTTTTCGTTTTTACAATTTATAAAAAAGAAATTTTTACACATAATAACATTGAAGAATTTTTACTGCAATCTCATTATTTTGCCAGTAAATATGTTACTCGGCACAAGAATAAACAACAGACATATACGAATATGAGTAAAGTACGTGAAAATATTTTATTTACTTTGTTCGACTACGAATATAAGTACATCTGTATGCTTGGCTGCGTCGAGAATGTGTGTGTGTGTGTGTGTGTGTGTGTGTGTACACAAACACCCCAGTACTGCAATCTCAACATGTATAAAATGCATTTTTTAATTTAATTCTTCTCATTTTTTTTTTATTTGTTTCTTTTAAGTTTGCCTCTAAGTGTGAGTAAGAGACCAACTAACTGACCCCTTTCTCTGCGTAAAATTTAACATCTCTGTCGCCCACCACTTCACATCACTTCACTTCACTACTTTTTTATTGCAATATTTTTATTGTACTGATTCCGTATGTTTTTCTCTTCTTTGATAGCGAAGAAAATGTTTGGAAACTTTGTGAACAAGTGAAGAAAACACGTATCGATGAGCTGAATAAATGCTATGCCGTGTTTGTATCGAATGAGGGTCGCACGGTACCATTATGGCGCCAGAAAGCAGGACGTGGCGATGACCAAGTTGTGATATGGGTACGTTTTCTATATATACTTGTCTTCTTTTTTTTTTTGTTTTTTTGTTACTTCACCGCTATTTACAGAAATGTGAACACGCAATCAAACATGAACACACTAATTTATGTATAAATAGCTGTATTTCTATCTTTCTTTCTTTATTTTTCCTCTCTCTCTTTTTCTCTCTTGTATTTATTTACATTTTAATATATAATATAATTTATGAAGGAAACAAAACTTTGATTTTTACGAAAGCTCTAAAAAAAATCCGGTAAAAAGCAAAAGAAAAAAAGAAGAAAAAGAAATAGTTGCATTTAATTTTTCAATAACGGGCCATGCTCGTAATATGCGCATTTCTTCCAATTGAAATGCATTTAATTGTTCTTCAGTCAGAATCCAAGGCAAAGAAAAGCTCAACAATTAGCACGAATTTAGTCATATATGAGAGTAATTCAAAAATAATTTGGTCGCATCTGAGAGTTAGTATTATTGCTCTCCCTTAGATGCGTTTGAAAACAATTTCTGACATGTTATAATAATAATAACAAGCAACGCTCTTATCTGTGTTCGCTCTTTGTCTTTCTGTTGCTCTCTCTCTCTCTCTCTCTCCCCTCTCCTTTATCATCCACCACTTATATGGCCGCAAAAGTAAATTTATTTAAAAGGCCCTCTTAGCATATTTAGGTTGTTTACTTTCAAGTGCAGTCATTTAAGGAGTTAAATGCTAGTAAATTAGAAACCATAAGCTAATTAAAGCGGCAAAAAAAGGAAAAACAAGAGAATAATTGTTTATCGGCTTCTTTAGGGTCCTAAGAGATATATTATACTATTTTCTAAACCGATTGTTGGGCTTATGCTAGGCATACGTACATATATGTGTGTATGTAGCGGTAGCTGAGGATGATGATGACTTTGGCAAATGTCATGTACTCTTTTCCGATGTGTTGGGAATGGAACGTCATCGATACTGCATCGCGATAATGCAGCAGTTTACACTTTATTGCTTATTCGAAATTTTTTGTCACAAACAACAGAGCGCCTTGTGGCTTTTTCCTTTCTCCAAAACTGGAAGGCCCCATGATGGCAAATACTTTTGTCACAATTAAAAAGATAAAGAGCACATCCGAAGTGCTTCGTGCATTAGAGAAATGGCTGGCACAAGCGTATTATATGAAGGGGACAAAATAGGTGTAGGCGAATAAATAAATACCTATTAAGCTAAATAAAAAGTCACTTTGCACATAATACTAAACAATATAACATCTCCCTCAATAAGCTTGTAGAACGACACATAGATCTTATTCTCTAAATCGGCACAATACATGCAAACAAATGAGAACGAATATATGCTTATTCTCTAAATCGGCACAATACATGCAAAACAAACGAGAACGAATATGCTTATTCTCTAAATCGGCACAATACATGCAAAACAAATGAGA